GAGCCGAAGGTCTGAGTTTATGCAGCTACGTTTATGCAGCTACTTCTGTTGGGTAGACGACAGTTAGTCATAAAAAACAGACCTCTATTCAAAGAAAGAGGCCTTCTGGCTGGACTTAATCATATGGGACTTTCGGTCAATTTAATTATTTGAAACAGCAAATGAAAACCTAAAAATCAGTGAGCTTTGAAAACGTATACTGCTTCTTGCCTGAAGCATAATGCAGTAATATAAAAATTATTAGATTAATGATTTAAAGACACTTTTTCAGTTTAGTATTCATTATTTGGCCTATTCCATGGTCGAAGACCATATTAGAACCGTTCCTAATTTAGAAAAAAATGAGCATGCTTGATTTTCAGATTAGCAGAGAAGCGGATATCGATCGAACGGGGAATTCTGACTACAGGGTAAAGGTGTATCATGCAAGCCTATTATGTTTTAATAATGGATCATTTTTCTGAAGTCTTCCAAGTATCACGCCGACCAAGATATCTAAGACCGACTTGGACAAAGACATCGCAGGGATCGAATTGTATCATTTGCAGCCTGTCGCAGCGTTAGGCGTTGGCGGCTTTGGACGCGTAGAGCTGGTAATTATAATTATTACTTGTTGTAAATGCACGGATTTTAAATTTTGATTTCTTTTTTTGCTGGTTCTTTCCGTTTGTAATTTTTCTCTTTTTGTCCATTCATTGTAAGTGGATGAACTATTCTTATCGTAATCGTTTTTTACTGTTATGATCAGATCCTTGCACCACCAACATCATCAGAAATTTGTGTCGTAGAACGGACTGTTCTTTTCCCAACTTAGATTAGTTTTTACTTTATGCACCCTCGTTCATTGTTGATTTCTTAATCATCCTCATTTGATTGAACGTTGCGAAAGCGTACGTGGACCATCGCAGTCACGGATCCTGTGGAAGGCTGAGTGTCTTCTTGGGCGTACAGTGCAGTTTGTTTCGCTACTTGGAAGAGCCGTTGCCAACAACTGAGTTTCTAACTCACATGCGTTGTAGTCTCAGTATAGAAGACGTTGAAGGAAAGCAGGCTGTGCTGAAAGATGGTATTCATTGGTGACGCCATTCAAGCAATAAAATCGTTATCCAAATCTCTTTTCCTCCGCGTACCGAGAAAGTGTGGTTCCGCCACTAATATTTCCATGCTAGACAAAAAATGATGAGGCAGTGATATAGCTAGTGAAAAAATTTGAGCAAGGATCAAGAGCTATAGTAGAAATTGATCCTGTAATGCAGGGAGGATATGCCATGAAGGTGTTATGCAATCGAAACAATAAATATAGGTTAAGGCAGCTGCCCTGTTTAAAAAAGCATACCCAGGAATAGCGTTTCCTTTGTTTCTTCTTGCTTCGAACAGCTCGAAAATATTCAGAATTGGCAGAAGATCTGGTGACGATAGTAATATTTTGATGGATGAAATTGTTGTTCATTATTCCACTCTTGCATCTCTCGCGGACGCAGACCAGTGTGTCTCTTCAAATGAATGATGAATTTTACTGAACTGGATGAACCTGAACTCATACGGTGATTGAAAATCTCAATAATTTATCTTGAAATTATCCACTAGCGATGTATTGACAGCCAGGGTGAGCAGAGTTACCCTGCCTTTAAGCAGTCAGTCCAACTACAACCCCAAATGGCAGGATGCTGTAGGTCACTGTCCTTAATAAAGCGAGGTGAAAATGATTTACACCAACTGGATGTTCGAGTAAGAGTTAAG